TTTTGGTGATTATCTGCCATCAAGCGGCCTGTTCCGGGGCCCGGGCCCGCGCCCCCTGCGCCCTGGCGCCCGGCGCTCACGCGGGCCCTTTGTGTTTCTCCTCCTCCCGCAGCAAGATGTTCATCGGGGGACTCAGTTGGCAGACTACGCAGGGTGAGCGAGCCCGGGAGCGCCCGCCGGCCTGGCAGGGCACCCTGGAACCCCCGGCGCCCCGGAACCGGACACCCCAGCCCGGCCCTGCGCCCTGCTGACCCCGGGCGCCCCCGCGCCCTCTTTCGCGCCCCGCCCGGGGACCCTGAGAGCGCAGGGCGATCGGCGAGCGCGCACGGCCCAGCGGGTGGAGGGGACGAGATGAGGGGTTCAGGGGGCATCCGGGGGTGGGCTGGGCCCCCGGGACCCGCCAGCGGCAGCGCCAACTCCGCTCGCACCTGCGGCTCAAACTTTTGTGAGGCGGCTCCCGGAGCGGCGGGAACCCGGCCGGAGCAGTCCCCCCTCCAGCCAAGCTCGGCCCTCGGCTTCCTGGGGCCCGGTGGGCGCCAGGAGGCTCCACAGGAGCCGGGTGAGGGCGGTGTGGGGGGGGACGCTGTGGTGAGCACGCTGGCAGCTCGGCGCGGGGGCGGCCGGCCGCGCGGGGGTCACCGGGGGCAGAAGACCAGGGAGGGGGGAAGGGCGCGGGCCCGGGCTGGTCCGAAGGCGGGTGTGTGGTTACAGAAGGGCTGCGCGAATACTTCGGCCAGTTCGGGGAGGTGAAGGAGTGTCTGGTGATGCGGGATCCCCTGACCAAGAGATCCAGGTGAGCCCCTCACCCCCTCCTCCTGCTCCCGGCTCGCCCCCCTCCACCGCCACTCACTGCCTTGTAACCATCTGCCTCTCCCTCACTACGGCGCGCAGGGGTTTCGGCTTCGTCACTTTCATGGACCAGGCGGGGGTGGATAAAGTGCTGGCGCAATCGCGGCACGAGCTCGACTCCAAAACAGTGAGTGGCCCTCGGGGCTTCGGGGGTCCTTTGGGAGAGGGAGGCTGCCGGAGGAGAGGGTCAGGACTCTCCCGAGTGGAGACGGGGTCTTTAGGAAGAAGCGAGTGTTCTGAGCTGCTGTGCTCTGAAACTTTGTCACTGGAGTTGAAGGGACAGGAGGAAGCAGATAAAATCCCAGGCCTGCGGTGAGATGCTCCAATCGACCCCCCCACCCCCACCCCACATACAGACCCTCCAGTATGGGAGAGGGAAGTTGTTACCACCCCTCACTCTAAGTACTAATCTTGATGCCTCAGAGAGGAGCTGGGGTGGGGCTAGGTCCCTCCTCTAGCCCAAATTGGGTGAGTCAGGCCTGCAGTGACCCACCCCTTGGCTCCTCTGAACTCTAACTAGTATTTGGCTTTGCGATGCCCCCCTCCTTTCCCCACCCCCAGACCAATAGTAAAAGAATCACTGAGTCCCCCACCCCTCCCTTCCTCCTCTCTTTCCCCTGACTTTTGGTCAATGAGCTTATTGCTCTGTGTGGAAGACAGACCTACTTTGCCCCTGCAGGGATAGGAGAAGGAAGCTGGCTGGCCTGGGAGCCCTCACCATCCGCAGGGCTGGGTCTGGGGAGAAGCAGCTTGCCGGGCATCCAAACTCCTAGAACATTTTGCCTCTGTCCCACTGCTCCCTGGTGTCCTGGGCCCTGCAGGGGGCGCTGGCGCTGGCCCTGGCCCCAGCTAGAGGGGAGAGGGAAAAGGAGAAAGTCATAGGAGGGGTTACTCCTTGATGGGGTGACCGGCTGGGACAGTGTGATCTGTCTCCGCACTCCCCCACTCTCCCTAGCCCTGGGCCTCCCTGCTTGGGTCAGTCACTGACTCCTGTTTACCTGCAACAATAGCTGGTTGTGCACAAGAATTCGTTAAATTACTGCCTGTCCCCAGCTTCTGTTATCTCTGCCCAGTGGCTCCCACTCCTGCTTGCAGTAATGAGCAAATGAGGCCAGGCCTCAACTTTGCCGACTCTGAAAGGATCTTCTTGGCGCAGACTGAGTGACCCAGGCTGGGAATGGAGAGACAGTAGCCTATTGTTTTTGGTGATTATCTGCCATCAAGCGGCCTGTTCTCCTACCATCCCCTGTCCTCAGAATGCACTGGTGGCTTCTGCAGCGCTCAGGAAGCTGAGATTTAGGGGCTGGAACTGAGGTTGAGGGTAGGGGCGTGAAAGATAGATAATGGCAAGAAGAGGGAGGAAGAAGGAAGGAGGGCGAGATGGGCATCCATCTGGTTAGGACTCCGCGGGGCCAGGCCTTTGTGCTGGGCGTTCTCAGGTCTGGGGAAGAGGGTGGGATGGGGTGGAGGGGAGTTTATTGTGGGGAGTCTATTTTGGGTTCTGACTTTCACCTTTTATTTACTTGTTGGGTTTTATTTATGTTGCCAGCTGTGAGTCAGAGTGGAGGTGGGGTGTGTCAGGAATGGGGTTGCGTGGGTTTGCGGGACGTGGCTCGGGTACCATCTGCCCATCGGGGTCTGTGCAGGGGGTCATCTGAGGTGTGCTCTAGTGCCTGGGAGGCCACTGCTGGGGAATAGGAGGACGAATGTGTCCCTAGCGCTCGAAGTCCCCCTTGCAGATAGGGTAGGTGGCTGGTGGCTCTGACTTCCCCCAGAGCCCCCAGGGGCAAGCCATTGCCCCAGCATGGATTTGGAGGTTCCTTCTCTGTGGGGAGGTTCCACTGGGGGACGCTGGTTCCTACCATTCAGGCAGAGAACAGCTAGAGCCAGTTGCCTGGAATGAGGCTGAGTTTTGAATAGAAGGAACTTTGGGAAAAGATAGATCTTCTCTGCGATTGGCTGGTGAACTTCTGAGTTGTGCCCACCCTACGGGCTGCAAAACCTGGGCTGATGGGGCTTCCTAGGGCCTGTGTGGTCATGGTGTTCCGTGCCCTGGCTCTGGCTATTTGTCAGTATGTGTATAGTACCCAGGCGGGCCCAGGTGCGTCTTCCTTTTTGTCACTGGCTGTTCAGAGCCAAGGGCAAAGGTGACCTGCTGGTAATAACACCTTTGTTTGTGCAGTGAAGGGCAGTTCACAAAGGGCTGCTTTCACCCACATTATCTCATTTGATTCCCCACAGCTGCCCATGGGAAAAGTGGGTGTGATTATCCCCACTTTGCAGATGAGGGAACTGAGGCTCAGAGGCGAGGTCCCAAGATCACAAAGACCCAGTTTCTGAGTCCAAGCCCCATGACCTTGTACAGCAGCACGGCCCCAGGTCTGCTTCCCGGGCCCCGCAAGCGTAACGGCATTATTCAAGGAGCTGTTTGCTGGCCGCCTCCAGGAGGCTGGTAGGCGGCTGTAGTGCTGGGAATACACAGCTTACTCTACCCCTGGTGGTTTATGAACTTTTATCTTGAAGCTTTTTCAGGCAAAGCATATCTCTGTTCACAAAGCTTCCAAAGTCTGGATCACAAGCCTCACCTAGCCAGGTATCTGTGACGTCAGTTAGGTGGAGAAGGCCGTCTGTGCACCTGGTGCTTGAAGGAATAAAACTTTGCTTACCTTTTATGTTTTCCTTTCTGGTTCTTGCTGTGAGCTAGACATTGTGCTAAAGCTTTGTAAGCGCTGTCTGTCTCAAATAATCCACAGACGACCCTTTGAGGCAGATGCTATTATTTACCCATTTTGCAGGTGAATTCCTCCGTGAGGCTCAGAGAGGTTAAGTAACTTGCCCAAGGTCTCACAGCTGGAAAGCAGTGTAAGTGGGGTTCAAACTCACTAGACTGACTCTAGTGCCTAAATGCCTAACCGCTACCCTTGCCCGCCAGAGGCTGTGGTGGTTGCTGTCACCTCTCTGTCCTAGGCTGGTACAGGCTCAGGCTGAAGACTGTGTGGACACTCGCTCAAGTATGATAACCAAGGTCCATCCGCCTCTCCCTTCTCTTCCAGATTGATCCCAAGGTGGCCTTTCCTCGACGAGCACAGCCCAAGGTAGGTGTGTCTGCTCATGGGGGCAGTGATTTTCCCAGCATCCCCTTCTCTAGACGATACCTCCTGAACCTTTCGGGACTGTTTCTGGAGTCCCGAGGAGGGGGCATTCTGATGCTCTTGCTCTGTGAATCATAGACAGCCGATATTTCTGTATCTGCATCCTGTGGTGGGTTGGAGAGGGGCTGTATATATTACATAAGGGGGGGGGAACCCCTCGAGTCCAGTACAGTTCGGACCCTGAGCCTGATGTTCACCTCAGAGATCATAGCCTCTGTGCCCAGTGCTTCTGGGGGTCAAACACAGGCCCAACTTTCCCCCTGAGGCTGAGCTGCCTCTGACTTCCTCCTGTGTACCCCCACGCAGTTACCTTCCCACTTTTGGGGTGCGGAGTGTTGGGCTGGCCGAACGGGCAGCACCATAAAGTTTGTCACCTGTTGTCATTCACCTTGGGGGCTCTGGCTGCCTCCCAGGCGCTCTCTTTTTCCCTGGCACTTGATGAATTTTCTGGGTGGAAAACAGATTTCTGAATGGTCGAGCTCCTTAGCACTCAGAGCTGCTGCTGCAAAGCAGGAGGATTTCCTGAGATTCCATTCCAGATCCCAGGGCTGGCTCGTTAGCCAGTTCTTAATTTTTAAGAGGTCAATTTATAGGGGACAGGAGGGAAGGGGATTATAGTTCAGGGGGCCAGGACCCCTGCGACAGCTGACTTACCATGTGTCCTACTACCAGGCCGTTCTCAGGAGACACTTCTCCCCTTGCATGGGGTGGGGAGGTGTTGGTGGGAACTAGGACACTTTAAGATTTGGAGCTGTGGATTCCAGCATGGTGTCCAGCTCCTGTTCTGGCCAAGAGAGAGGGCACATTTTAGGAGACAGGAAAGGGGCATCTCTGGCTGGGTCCAGCAGAGGGCCTGAAAGCAATTATAGAGCAGGTATTTGAAGGAAGCCGCACCAGGGAGCACATGGTTGGAATTGGGTTAATTCCATTAAGCAGTTTGGTGACAGAAGGTGCTTTAGTGTTAGGATGGGGCTGGGAATTGCCATGGATTAGCCATGCGCTCCTGGGGTAATTAGGACCATGTGTTCTTCCTAAAACAGGGCTGGGGCCACGGGGCTGCCAGAGGTTGAGTTGGGAGGAGGCCGATGAGGAAAATGTCGGTGTTGAGTTCATGGGGACCCCCTGGCAGACCTTGGCCTCTCCCAGGAGGGCTGGTGGGGTCTTCGAGGTTGGCTGTGGATCTGGATGACTGACTCATCCCCTTCCTTGTGTTGGTTCTTAGAGAAGATGTTTTCTGGACACAGAACCCAGGGAGGGAGGTTGGAGGGAGGCATGCTTCAGCCAGGCAGGGTGTGGGTGCACAGCTGCCTGTGACAGGCCTGGAGGCAGGGGTCCGAGGGGCAGCTTGGGGGGGCCTTCCGAGTAGCTGGGGCCACAGAGAGCTTGTCAGCTGGCGCCCTGGCAGGAGGGCTCGAGCCCTGCTGGTGGCGGTAGGCCACAGGGCTCAGATGCCCACTTTCTCATTCCCTCCCCCTAACAGATGGTGACTCGAACGAAGAAGATCTTTGTGGGGGGGCTATCAGTGAACACCACGGTGGAAGACGTGAAGCAATATTTTGAGCAGTTTGGGAAGGTGGGTCAAAACTGGCGGTGCTTGCTGGGGTGCTCGCTGGGGCTATGGAATAGGTCAATAGCAAGGGGAGTCCAGCCAGGTAGTGAAGGTGGGTCCTGGATGCTTCTGTGGGTGAGGCCAGGCCAGCCACCCTGTCCAGGGGCCTCTGGACACATCCCCAGGGAAGGAAACCACACAGTGCCTGTGCCTGTTTTGTCCTTCCCCTGTGTTTCTCTCTTGCTTATCTTCATTCTCCCCAGGGAGGCTGTGCTCCCATAGCCAGTTCAATCCAGTCACCCCGGGGGCCTCCCGGGAGTTTGCACCTGTCCAGGGCATGGGGCGTTGTACCTTCCTCCACTTTTTTCTGGTGAGGACGATAAGGAGGCAATAAATATGACTCCCAGTTGCACTCAGCACCCTACTTGAGCAGGTGGGAGCTGCTCCTCTCGCTACCTGGTAAGCACCCCAAATTCCTAATGGTCCCAGATGATTGGTCCTCATTTCTGAGGTACATCGAGCTTAAATTTCTGGGCTCTTTAGCCTGCAAACAAGTAGCAGATGTGGCTACATGAAACAATAGGGTTTCACCGGAAAGGTGAGCAATGTGAATGTCAAGGTCCCTTGGAGACCTTGAGAGAGTACCAAGCTGTAAGTCTGGGGGAGAAGTGAGGTTGCTCTGGTAGTGCTGGGGCCCCTGGTCTGCTCTTAGGGGAAACAGGCGGGTCTCTACTTTCCCATCATTTCCAGTTTCCCGTTAGACACCTGGCAAAAGAGAAGGTGGCTGCAGAGATGGGAGGTGAGCCCAGGACTGGGTGGGTGTCCAGGCCCCTGTCTCTGGGGAGGGGGGCGGGGGCAGAGTGGGCGGTCCCCTGGCCGGCGGATCCAGGCGGCGGGCGAGCCTGCGGCCTAGGCCCGGGCGTCTCCTAGGCCTGGGCGTCTCCGTGGGGACCCGGGTCCCGGACGCAGGGCAGGTCGGCGGCCTGGGCCCCAGAGGGAAGGGCGCTCCTGGGAAGCAGCAGGCCCTGCTCGGCTCCGGCGGGGTGTCTTTGTGTCTGAGCGCCGAGCATTAGAGCTCGCTCTAATCTGATCCAGCAGCTGTGATTGGAGGCCGCCTGCCCCCGGGGCCGGCGTTGCCATGGCAACCGGGCCCCAGGAGAAGCCGTCAGCGGCCGCGTCTTTTGTTCGGGCCTAAATCGGCGTTGGCATGTGAAACCGGCCCGGGGAGGCCAGGGGGAGCCGGAGAATAGGCTGCCAGGGAGCGAGGGGGACAGCCGGGAATGCCAAGGGCCCCGCGGCGGGGGGCTCCCCCGCCCGGATCGAGGGGCCGCGGCCGTGGGGGGAACAATGGTCAGCCGCCATGGCTGCCACTCAGGCTTAGCTGCCGCCGAACTTGGCGGCTCCCACTGGTCAGCAGGCCTCGGCCTCCTCCCCTCCCCCTGCCAAAGCCCCCTGCCCCCAGGTTCCCATGGAGACCGAAGCCTATTAAGGACACAGGGCTGGGAACCTCCCTCCCCTCAGCTGGGCCCAGGAGGGGACACCGGTGGGAGTCCCCACAGGAGGAGACCCTAGTGGGGGTCCCCTGGATTCCCAGCCACTCTCCTTGCTCCCTGCCCTGACCTCAACCCCATCACCTGAGGAGGGGTCTGTGGGCCAAGGTCCAGGTTGAAGGACCTTGAGGGCCAGAGATGGTCTAAGAAGGTTGGGTAGAGCAAGGCAGAGGGTTGTAGATTTGAGCTGAATCAGTTTGTGGGTCAGGCAAGAATTCTGGGCTGGTAGGATTAGGAGGGAGGGTGTGGCTGGTTCTCCCATTCATTCATTAAAAAAACATTTACTGAGCCCAAATCAGGGTGTTGAATGGGATGGGTAGGCACGGTCATTAACAGACACAGATGCCCTATTACAGAAACTCCAGTCACTGTCCTCAAGCTGCTGTCTCTTGCTTTGCTACTCACCCCATGTGACTGTGGCAAGCCCCCTCCCACCCCCATAAAGATAATGACAGTAGCTGGGATGCCAGGTGCTGCCAGGTATCTCATTTTTACTCCTCCCTATAAGCTTCACACTGTTAGGTCCAGTTTACAGATGAGGAACCACATCCACAGAGACATAAAGTCACTTGCCCAAGGTCACCCAAATAGCAGGACCTAAGACTCCAGCTCCAGCAGGCCCTACTCAGGGTGTGTGCTTTTCTCACGGCTCTCCTTGCCGGGCCTCTCATTACCACTGGTGGGGCATCGCAGCGGGGAAGATGTGCTGAGCCTAGAGCGTCTGTCAGTCGGGACGGTCTAGCTGATTTGGGGTTGCGGCTCAAGTGGGTCCATAAAGATGGACATGAGGGTGGTACTCAGCTCCAAGACCACCTCCCCCAGCCATCTCCCCCACAGGAAACTCCTTGGGGAGGCTGATGTCATTTCCCTCTGAGACTCTCCAGAGATCCAGCTGCCTCCTGGCTTAGTGGGGTCCTGGTTCTCTCTGGGGAACATCGGAGGCCTGGTACAACTTGGTGCCTGAGGGGAGCTGGAGGACCACCCTGCTTGGGGCTGCCCTTTCCACTTTCATGAGGCAGGCAACAAACCTGAAAAGAGGAAAGTGGGGGAGAGGCTGTGCCCATGACTCAGGAAACTTTTCCTTCATCCTTTGAGGAGCTGACCATGTGGAGGAGGGTCAGCAGCTTGGGTGAGATTGGGGGGGAGGGGCAGAAAGGGATCAGGGGCAGTCCTTGATTTCCACGAGGCTGAATCAGACGGTAGCTTAACCCCTTTATAGTAGCTGGTGACTGAGAAGGGCAAGAACAGGGGACAAGGAGATGAGTCTACAGAAGGGAAGCTGGGGCCTGACTGAATGCCCAGGGGGATGCCTGGAGGGAGAAGCTAGAAGAGAAGGCTGGGGTCCAGGGGAGGGTGGTGATGTCCACCCTCCTCCTTTCGCAGGTCCTCGCCCCTCCCCCAGTCAGTGGGAGGCAAGCAGCCCAGGCACTGAACTCTACTTGCTTTAATTACAGCCTCTAGCAAAAGGAAACCTCAATTAGAGGAAAAGATCTGTACCAGCAGAGGGGAGTTGAGTCTGGCCGGAGTGACTGCTGTCCTCCTGGCCCTTTGCAAAAAGGGACTTGCTCCTGCATCTCCTTCAGCACCCACTCTGTGCCTCCTCCTCCCAGGCTTGGTCTCAGGCTTGCGGACCGTGGGCAGGTGACTTCCCTGCTCTGAGCCCATTTCCTTACCTAGCAGATGAGGCTTTTACCAGGCCAGGCATGCAGAGAGGAGGAGGGGCAGTGCCAGGCACATACTGGCTGGCCCTTCGAGAGTGGTGAGTGCCGAGGTCCAGGTGGGCTTGTGTTGAGAAATCGCCCCCAGCCCAGGGAGCAGGTTGAACGTCAAATCTGCTTTGGATGGAGGGCAGTGGGATCAGGGGCCCCCCCGCTCCTGGGCCGGGGTGGAGTCCCTGGTATGTGGTGGGTCCTCCATGGCAGGCTCTTTTTCAGGTGGATGACGCCATGCTGATGTTCGACAAAACCACCAACCGGCACAGAGGTGAGTGTGACCCCTCCCCCTCCCAGGCTGAGCTGAGGCCTGTGGTCAGCCAGGGGGCTGCAGGTCACAGCTGCCCTTTCATCTCGCCTCTTGACATCCTATCCCCGAGGATCTGCATCCTCTCCCGGGCCTGGCCTTACAGAAGGCTTTTGTCCCTCTGTTTCCTGTGCTAGAAACTTGCCGAATTGCAGACACCCGAGAGGAGCAGACCTCCCCCCCTAGCTGAGCTCTCTACCCCCCACCCCTGCCCCAGCCGGTGTCTGCACAGCCAGTGTTTGCCTGGGCTTACCTTGTCCCTGGTAACCAGAGCTTAGGCCAGGCTGCCCTGGGGTCACGCTGACTCCTCAGCCCTGGACAGTCTGCTCCTGCTACCACCCCTAGCCCCGGCAAGGCCAGCCCCCAGCCCCCTTGCCCCTGAACCCGTGAGCATCTGGGCCACTGTGTGCACACTGCCTGGTTGTTTTTCTCTCAAGGGCCTTGCCTTCTGAGAAATCCCATTCCAGTCCCTGGGGCACACCGGGCAGGGTTGCTTCTCTGGCTGCTTTGGGGCTTTTAACTTGTTTGGGGAGTGGGGTATGTCCTTGTGTGTGTGTGCATGCAATGCGTGCACGCATGTGAGGGTGTCTGTGTCTGAATATTTGTGTAAATGTGGTGTCAGGGCCTTCCTGGTGGCTCAGGGGGTTAAGTCTCAGCACTATGAAGCTGTCTGCAGCCATCGCAGCATGAGTTTGATCCCTGGCCAGGGAGCTGGCCCACGTGGTGCAGCAGACCTCTCCTGTTTCCCCGCTGCTCCCTCAGCAGTGGATTTCAGTCAAGCTTCCTGTGCTGCCCCCCACTCTATGTCTCTGGTGAATCTGCTCACTTTCCATAACTCTGACCTGTACCTCAGTTCTTCTACGTAAAAATTTAAGAAGTCTTTAAAAAAATAAATAGAACCTTATAAATAAATCAATCTGGTCAGTGTGATCATGCAAATACTGCAGGGGCCTCTGTGAGCACCCGCCAGTGTCTGACCTATGGCCTCCAGGTGTGTGCATGTGTCCACACCGCTGTGTTTATGTATGTGTCTTTGTCTAAACCTGTTTGGGTTTGTACCTTTGTGCAAGTTTGATAAGTGTTTGTGTGTCTTCTTCTTCCATCTGAGGAAGAGAAAAGGCATGCGTTTTAATTTTAAATTTTAAACAGATTTTTACATCATTCTTCATTTTCGTACCATGTATGCTTTGTCACCTTGTGTATGGTCCCCAAGGCATTCCCACCACCCATTCACCCGTGCACCGTCACCGCAGTCGCTTGTGCTCAACCCACCCCTGTTTTGGTCCACTTTTCTCTCCCCCCACAAGAATGTCTCTGGTTCATAGTTGCCTGTTGATTTTGATTTTTACTTTGTTATAATTACTCCCCACCTCCTACCTCCAGGAAAGGCATGTTGAGTACACTTTCATCATAACTCTGCCACTAAGGACCTTGCTGTGTGACTTTAGACAAGTCACTCCACTTTGCTGAGACTTGGTTTTCACATTGTGATCTGGGGCTAGGGACCCCATCGCAGTGGGTGGTCCAGAGGTTCTGGACTGTGGACAGAGCCTGCCGTTAACTCCCAGAGCCCGGCCTATGAGACAGAAGTGGTGGCGTGAGACTCCAGGCTGGGTTTGGACCAGGAGCCATGGTTCTGATTTTGCTGTTACCCTTTGCTCCCTCTCCCCCCAGGGTTCGGGTTTGTCACGTTTGAGAGCGAGGACATTGTGGAGAAAGTGTGTGAAATCCACTTCCATGAAATCAACAACAAAATGGTAAGCTGGGGTTGGGTGGCAGTGGAGGTACAGAGAAATGGCCCAGGCTGAGCCAGCCAGGGGCGCTCAGAGGATTTGGATACAGGTGGAGAGGCGCACAGCCAGGGGACAGAGCCAGTTTCCCCCACCCCCGGGAATCTAGACAGAAAGACAGTGTCCCGTGATGGTGAAAAAGCATCTTTAACTTAAACGGTGATATATGTCGGTTATAGTGGCCCCGCCCACACTGCCCCTAATCTCCAGGGACATATCCTGAGAATATCCCAACACTCCCAGTAGATGCCTGAAATTGAGGATAGTGCTACACCCCATACATACACACATATGTGTATATACATGTTTCTATATTTCTGTGATTAAGTATAATTTATAATTTAATAAACTAAGCATAGTAAGACAATAATAATGAAATAGAAGTGTTATGACGACATACTATAAAGAAAATTACAAGAATGGGGTCTCTTTCTCAAAATACCCTATTGTACCTCGGTTTTCTGACTGTCGTTCACCATGGGTAACTGAAACCATGGAAAGCAATACAGCAGGTAAGAGGGGACTCCTGTATGTGTCAGGAAGCCTGGGGATGGTAGAGATGCATGACTGAGTTAGAGGAGAAAGACCTGATTTAAAATCCACTGCCTGCTGTTCTAGTCGCTGCAGTTGACATCTCCTCTCTGAGACCCAGGTTCTTCATTTGTAAATGGCAGTGACAGTAGTGTCATAGGGTTGGTGTAAGCATTCAATGGACCATTGCATGCAAAGCTGTCTAGACAGTGCCTAACACGTGGTGAGCCTACATAATGGTAACCATGAAATTAGAAAGAGGCTTGTCTGGGGACAGGAGGGCCTATGACCCTAGGTCTGTAGGAGAGACTGACCTCGGGTCTCTTTGCAGGTGGAATGTAAAAAAGCCCAGCCAAAAGAGGTGATGTCACCAACAGGCTCTGCCCGCGGGAGGTCTCGAGTCATGCCCTATGGAATGGACGCCTTCATGCTGGGCATCGGCATGCTGGGTATGTGCCAGGCCCTCACCTGCAGCTTCTTCCTGCCTGGAACTGCTCTCAAGGCTCCCAGGGGCTGTGTGGGTGTGGCACTGCCTCTGTGGGCTGCCTCCTGCCTGCGTCATTAGGTGGGAACAGGGACCAAAGAGCGCAAGTCTATAGCCCTCCTGAAGGTGGGACCATTTGGTTGTGGGTTGCTGCCCTCTGGTGGTGGCCAGAAGAATGGTCCGGCTGCTCCATAGCAATTGGTCCATCAGTCCATTGTAGTACATCTGTCCATCTGGCCAGCCAGCCAGCAAATAACTGTTGAGAAACTATAAATGTCAGGAATTACGACAGTGACTTTTCTTGGTGTTTTGTGGTCTGCCAGGGAAAATGAACAAGAGCATAAAGAAGTTTAGGATGGAGAAGGATAGAGTCCCCAGGGAATATGGTCACAGGGAATTTGACGAAGCCAGAAAAGAAGTTAGATTGAAGTTTAGTTTGTGGATTGAATGTGAACTAGTTTATGCGAGAGCAGGGAGTGGGGAGGGGGTTGTGTTCCAGGTAGAGGCTTTTAGAAGGCTAGAAGAAGGCTGCTTCATTTTAGTCATTCACCTCATATTGGTTGAACAGCTTGTGGGGCTCCCCATTGTGTGGAAGGCAGGAGTCAGTGTTAACCATAGAGTGAATGGGGGACCCAGAAGATACCTAAACACACTGGAGACCAGAGAGGCTCCTTGGAGGTGTAAAGCCTGCCGTGAGCCGTGGCGGTGAGCATGGGCCCCCCGCCAGAGGGTGGGTCATTGGAGCCCAGCCCTACAAACTCACCATCCCCGGGGAGGCAGATATGGACAGAAAGAACTGCACGGGAGCATCTTTATGCATCTTTATGCCGGGACAGAGGTGCCCTAGGAACTCAGGGGTGCTCCATGCCTTAGACTAGAGGGTCAGGATTGGGGTCACAGATAAAGTGGAGAACATCCTCCAAATGGGCACAGTCTTGTTGAAGTTTTGTTTTTAAACTTCCGTTTGGAAGTAATTTCAATTTTCAAATTTGGAAATAAGGAGTGGCATAAAGAACATTCACACACCTCTGCTGGGCTTCACCTATTTTTAACATCATACCTGTTGGCTTTGCATTTTCTCTCTGTGTTTGTATAAATATATGTGCACACAGACATACTTATATGTACATGTACAATGCACACATCACCCAGTACACTCAGGGTTTTTCTCTGAATCCTTGGAGGGTGATTTACATGCATTTTGATCCCTTCTTTCTTTATTTTTAAACTTTTTTGCAGAGGAACTGGGGTGTAGGCCAGCAGTGGGGGGGGGGGGCTTAAGGGCAGTGAGAGGATTCACCAGAGACAGAGTAGGGAACAGTACAGGCAGATCTGCTGAAATACAGGGCGGGTCAGGAGAGGTCTGCCACACTATGTGAGTCAGCTCTGGCGTGGGGGATTGAACTCGCATGGAAGCAGCTGTGGCTGGCTTCACAGTGCTGCATTTTAAACTATTGCATCACCAGTTAGGGCCCTGGGTATGGTATTTTAATATATTAGCTGCTGTCCAATGTTATCAGTTGACCCTATATTGCATATTTTGGCCTTCCAGAACAAAATCCAGACCAGAATCAGGTATTCATTTAGTTGTCCTATCACTAGCTCGTTTTCTTTAGGTAATTGATTTAAAAGAAATAGGAGACCGACAAATAGTGACAGTGGTGGCTAACAGTCTTGGAGCAGACAGATCTGAATCCCAGTCACTCTGTCGTTACACACTTTATGATTTTTCCCCCCAAACTGCAAACATTTATTCAGTTCATACTAAGTAACAGGCAGCATGCTGGTGCTGGAGATAGAGAAATAAAAGGTGGGAAAGAGGAAATCAGCGCTTACAGAAATCCTGAGATGATTAGTGCCATGAAAGGGAAAACCCAGGCAACATGGTAAATATTGTAACTGAGGCGAGGGAGGACTCCTGTGGGGTGACTTCCTGGAGGGAAGGGTCACTTGCGCTGAGATTTACACAAAGAGAAGAAAAAACACTGTTGCGCAAAAACCCGAAGGGAGAGTTTTCCAGACAGAAGGAAGAGCATGTGCAAAGGCCCTGGGGTGGGAAGCATGTGAGGAGCAGCAGGGAGGCTGGCATGGCTGGAGCAGAGTGTCAGAGAGCAGGATCCAGTCTGTGTCTGATGCCAGCCCCTCTGTACCATCAGGTTACCCTGGTTTCCAGGCCACGACCTACGCCAGCCGGAGTTACACAGGCCTCGCCCCTGGCTACACCTACCAGTTCCCCGGTAAGTCCTGCTCAGTATCTCTCTGCTGTAAGCATGTCCCCGGTTCCTGGGTAGTCCACCTCCTCAGGGAGGTGTTTAGGGGTGCATGGTTGGGGGCGGTCTGCCTGTGGACAGAGGCTTGGAAGGAAGGGCATGTGTAAGGAAGAGGGCCTCTCCCCGTTCTGCACCCCTCCCCCAAGGCTGGGGACAGGGGCCCTAGGCCTAGCCTTGCATGGCACCCCCCTCTCCCTGGCCCCTCCCTGCCTGCCTCCTCCTTTCTCTCCTCTTCACCCCACTCTGGGGTTGCCACCTCCACCGAAGTGGGCATGGGGCTTGTAACCGGGTCTCCTCTGAGGGCCAACATCGGTTGTATCTTGACGGACATATTTATAATGACCTCATGGGATGTCAGCCATTTCAAGACTTTTTGAGACATGGAATGCAGAAAACAACATAAAAGCACCCTCGTTTGTAATTCAAAATAGAAATGACACTAGACTTTAAAATGAGTGGCAGGAAGCCCAACATAATTCAGGACTTTCCCACGATAACTCACTATAGTTTTCTTTGAAATATCAAATGTCCTGTCTTCACACAGCTTTGCTTTGGTCTTTTTTTTTTTCTTTTCTTTTTCAGCGAGGCCCCAGGCACTCATGTCCCTTGCCTTTTGGGCGTCCAGCCTGGAGTCCTTTGCATACCTTATTTTGTCTGATCCTGACAATAACCTCCCGGGGCAAGGAATGGTTCCCCCTATTTTATAGGTGAGGAGCCAAGATTAGGGAGGAAGCTGACCCAGCTAGAAAGGTCTGCAACTGGGAACCCAACCCAAGCCTGACTTGCCCGAGGGCCATCAGTAATGCCTCCCTGGTTCCTTCCCTACCCAAGAAAAAAAAAAAAAGAAGAAGAAAGGAAGAAAAACAGAAGAAAGAAAAAAGAGAGAGAAAGCGGGAAGGATTCTGGGAGCTGTTTTAGAGTAATGTCAAGCCTTTTAAACTCCCTGGGATGGCGGCTCCGGCATCGCCCCTTGCCCAGGGTATAGGTGGCAACTCTGCCTGCTCTTGCTCTCCCTGCCTCTCCTGTGCCTCCTTCCTGCCCTTGCCTGTGGGGGACCATTCTCTCACCCCAGCTCTGAGGTCCTGTGCATGGCCTGTTCCCCACCCAGTGTCCCCATGGGTGCGTTTATCCTCTGTGGGCCGTGCCCAAGGGCCTCCCTGTATCTTCCTAAGCTGTTTTACGTTTCATTTTAGAATTCCGTGTAGAGCGGACCCCTCTCCCGAGCGCCCCAGTCCTCCCCGAGCTTACAGGTCAGTCGCTCGGATTTCATACACATGGGGAGAAAGGAAGGACCCAGGGACCTTCCCGTGGAGTTAGCGGGGCCCTTTTCTCCTGCCCTCTGGCCCTCCAGCTGGCCAGCCTATGTTGTGACAGGCCCTGAGGGGTGGGGTGTAGGGCCCAGCCCTGCAGATGATGATAATGAGGTGCTCATTCATCCATTTGGCAAATATTTAGCGCCTCCCATGTGCCAGACAGCATGTGGGCTCTGGGGCCCAGTGGTGAACAAGCCGGTCTCAAACTCAGAACAGACCAGGCCTGGTAGGAACTTAGGCAAAATGGGGGTGTGCTTCTCCGCTCCCTGCCAACGTTGCCGGGAGGGGTGCAGACCCAGGACTTTTCGACCTCCTTTTCCAAGGGAGGACAGAAACCCAGCTTTTGCTTTCAAATGAATTTTTCAATTATTTTCCAATGTTGGCAACAGATTCTAGACTTGTCAAACACCCTGGGCCAAATGAAAGCTCCTCGTGGGCCAAATCCAGCCCTCGGGCTTCCCATTTGCAAGTTCTGGGCAAATGGGATAAGATCCTTGACCATCCAGACCCATTTCTCCAGCTGGATCTTTCCCTGGGTCCATCAGCCAGCCCAGCTCCTGAGCTGGGGGTGAGGCCAGTTCCTGGGGGAAAGGACTGTGCAGATGGGGGAGGGGGCTACAAGGTTTCTCTGTTCAACCTGCTGCTTCCCCCACCCCCACCCCAGACTCTCCCCCCCTAAACCTGGCCATGTGTAGAGGACGTGAGCATGGATGCTGCTTTAGATGAAACCTTCCTTCCAAGGTTTCAACATGGGGAAAGGGAAGAGGAACGTGCCATGAAGAAAGAGGAGAGCGTCCTAAGGCCCTTCCCTTGAGCAAAAGGGGGCTGGACCCGCAACATGAGATGGTGGGAGGGGTAGGGGTCATTTCAGGTTGTTGAGGAACTCCATGTTGAGGCCCTATGTGCGACACTGCCAGGCTCTGCTCACAGAACTTGCTAGATATTTAGAGAGGGAAAGAAATGCCCGTCATACAAATGAGCGCTTCCCGATAGTTGTGATAGTGCTTGCCCATGTCAGCCATGTTGGCCTTGGTCTGCGGAAACCCCTAAACGAACCCAGATCAGACCTCAGCGCCAGGTCCAGCCCCAGTCCCTGCAGGACTAGGGGAGGAAGGGCTCCCCCTCCCACACAGACTTCTCAGCCAAAAGGGCTTCAAGGCTCAGTGATTCTCAGAGGTCTGGTCCAAACCTTTCTCTGGCCTTCAGGAGACGCAGCATTTCTCCTGGCAAGCCATCAGGACTCATGCCCCATCCTTTTCCAGGCGTAGCACAGTGAATAAGCTAGACAGGGATGCTGTCCCCATGGACAAGTAAACCTTCCTCCAGTGGGGCATGAAAGACATTCAAGGGGTGAGAGGACCTACATGGACAATAAAGTAGGGAGATGCATGAAGGTGTAAGGGTTGGTGGCAAGAGGCTGCCTGAGCAAGGCTGGTCAGGGAAGGCTTCTCGGAGGAGGTGATATCTGAAGGGAAGGAGCTGAGTGTATCAAGATCGTGGGCGTGGCTTCCATGGTGCGGGAGCTGCGCTGTCCTGCATCCTCCTCCTCCCAGTCCCTGGCCTTGCTGAGAGTTTTCAGGGACCTTTTTACCCCCTAAGATTTATGTATTTATGCATACCAGAACTGGGGTACAGGCCAGGGTGGGGTGGCGGGCAGTGGTGAGATGTTCACCAGAGACAGAGTGGGGAACAGAACCGGCAGATCGACTGAAATGTACAGCTGAGGGGGGCAGCGGGCAAGACAGGCGAGGTCTGCTGCGCAGGGTGGGTCACCTCCCTGGCTGGGGATTGAACCTGTGCCGCAACGGCTGTTCATAGCTTTGTAGTGCTGAGACCTGACCCCTTGCTCTGCCGGGGGCTGGGGGATCCTTTCAGGGGTCTTTTTTAAAATCCCTGGTTCTAGTTCAGGGCCACCAAAACAGCCTCCCAGGGGTGCATCTTGGAATGGAAGACAAGTGTCCCTGAGGGCAGACGCCAGCTCTAAGGACCCTGGCTCTAGGCTAAGCAGTAGCCCCTTGGGGCCACCAGGCAGAGGCAGGCGGTAATGGACACTCTCCCCCCATCCCCAGGGAGCTCCAGGCTCACACCTCCAGGTATTTAAGCAAGGCCACTCCTTCTTCACCTGCCACTTATTACCTGCCTGCTGCTGTGTACAAAACCAGGTGGGAGGTGGTCTGGAGTTCGAGCGCAAACTAGGGAGTGCGAAGAGGGGAGCAGAGAAAAGAAGCTAGTGGAGCTGGAAGGGGTGGTCATTTCTGGCCAGAAGGAGGGGGACCCAAGGCAGGAACCCGGCGCACACAATACACTGGGGGTGTGTTCTCGGGAGATGGCGAGCAGCCCGGATGGCAAAAGGCAGCAAGCAGACATGCTGCCTTGACTGGGGTGCAGCTTCAGCCGGGCCCGCAGGGGGCTCGGGGGCGTGGGCTGCTCCTCGGCATCCGTCTGCCTTGGCGCCAGAGGCCCGGCGTTTCGTGCCTCTGTCCACCTGTCCCTGGGCTGGGAAGCAGTCGGCCTGCCAGTGTCTCTGGGCTCGTGGACCCAGGTGGCCAAGGACACTCCCTGGAGGAGGCAGCGCATGCGGGTGATGCTCAGAGCAGCCAATGCCCGCCTCCCTGAGTTTGGGGCTGTTCAGATGTCCCCAGTGGGGGTGGGGGGAGATGTCCTCTTTGCAGCCATTTTCCATCCACCCTGCAAGTCAGGGCACGGAAGCCAACCCGGGGACTGTCAGCCTCCCCTCGGGACCGCAGTGACCCCTCTGTGGGGCGGGGGCCCCCCCACTCCTGCCCCACTGAAGCGCCCGCACCTTCCCTTTCAGCCATTCCTCTCACTGCTTACGGACCCATGGCGGCGGCGGCGGCGGCGGCAGCTGTGGTCCGAGGGACAGGTGAGGCCTGGGCGCAGACGTGGGGAAGGGGCCCAGGCGCAGAGGGCAGGGAAGGCAGTCACTGCCTCCCCATTCGGGGCACTCACATAGTCATTTGCTCCCCAAGTGCTAACTGCGCTCTGGGCCAGGCCTCACTCTGCAGCGAGGAGGAGCAGGGGGGAGACCCACGTGGTCTCTTCCTTCTAGGCCTATGGCCAGGCGGGGACCTCAGGAAGTGCAAACCTCAAGGCTGCTGCTGCTCTGAGAGGGGCATTCAGGCAGCAGGAGCTTCTCGACTTCTGGCTTGGAGCAGAGAGGAGGAGGAGAACACCCGCGGGAGGGACAGCATGCACAAAGACGGGGGGCCAGTTGGCATGGGTGGAGTGAGGAGGAGCAGAAACAGGCCCTGCGGAGACACGAGCATTTAAAGCAGTGGGTGATGCTGACTTTAGCACATGCAGTCTGCCAATGAGGGGTGTTTGAGGGGCTCAGGAGGGGAGGCCTGGCTGGCTGGAAGGGGGTGGCTAAGTGGTCAGACAAGGGGTGGAGGGGGTCTAGGCTACACGTGGAAGGGTGGAGAGACTTGGACAGCTCTGCAGAAGGTGACCCACAGTTGCTACTGGATTGTGGGGTAGGGGTCAAGGTGGGGAATGGGGGTGCATGCGGATGGGCAGCAGTGGAACCAGGGCTATCACCGTCTTCTTTCTGGGTTGCCAGGCTCTCACCCCTGGACGATGGCTCCCCCTCCAGGTTCGACTCCCAGCCGCACAGGGGGCTTCCTGGGTACCACCAGCCCCGGCCCCATGGCTGAGCTCTATGGGGCAGCCAACCAGGACTCAGGGGTCAGCAGTTACATCAGTGCTGCCAGCCCCGCCCCCAGCACCGGCTTCGGCCACAGTCTTGGGGTGAGTGGCCAGCCCTGGTGACCTCCCCAAGCCCCTGAAAGGCTTTGTTCGTCTCTGGTAACAGGAAGGAGGCAAGGGATGCTGGTGGAGAAAAGAGTGTCACGGGGGGGAGGCGGGGAGGCTGGGGGTGACAATGTACTCAGTGGGCATTTTATGATCACACTTTGTGTGCCAGGCAGAAGGTGGGCTCTGGGGATATCATGCTGTGAGTCTCACCATCTCTGCCTGTGCAGAGACTAGACTCTAGCTCGGGGGTGCCTGAAATTTTAACCAGGAATACAGATTCCCAGGCCGCACCCCAGGGACTTTTAGTGAGTCTGCGGTAGTGGTAGTGCTGGTCTGTGCCTCATGCCTGGTTTCCTGTGGGAGAGGAGGAGCCCCTGGGCTTTCCCTGCTCCCCACGAGGAATCTGGGAGTCAAACTCATTTCTTTCCAGGGCCCCTTGATTGCCACAGCTTTCACCAATGGGTACCACTGAAGCAGGAGACAGGTGGCAGCAGGTGAGGAGGTGGGGAGGGGTCCCGGGTGGGGGTGGCACCGGGAGGCGGGTGTAGGCAACTCAGCCTGGGACACAGACACCCTCCCGCCTTCAGCAACCCACAGTCCAGTGGGCAGCACAGACCTTCCTACCAGCTATGAACAGTGGACGTGAGAAGTTGTGCACGCTGCTGCTGTGTCTATGTGCCGCCCGTCAGGCAAAGGGTTCTTTTAAGGATTTCTAAAGCCCAGCTTCCACGAGGCATGGAGGGACATAGTGTGTCTTGGCTTCTGGTTTCCCAAGGGCAGATTGCAGTGGTTGGCCAGATTTTAAATACGTATGCCCTTGACCTAGCAGTTCCACATCTAGGCATTTATTTTAAGTTACACATCAGGAAAATGCCCATCAACTGGAGAGTGATCAACTAAACTGACATGTATGCACACAAACGAATATTGTACAGCTGTTAAAGCAGGGTGCTGTCCACATATCTACCTCTAGAGAGAGGCAGGCAGCCCTGCACAGGCAGTGACCGTGCAGTGTGTAACCAGCTGGGAACCAGTCACATTTCATTTTCAGGCGCCCAAACAAGTACAGTTACTGAGCACCATGCCTGGAAGAGGCATGTGTAAGACAGAAGCCCTCTCTCATGCTGCAAAATCAAGGGACAGTGGAACAACTCATGGTACATGAGGGGGCTCCTTTAGGGGCTCAAAGGGGTCCCCGAGAAGGTGACGTTTGAATGAATCCAGCCACTTGCAATCTGGGGAACAAGGCTGCGGAAGGGGCTTTATCCTTAAAAGTCCCTGTATTGGGGGTGGGGGGGCCCAAAAGATAGGCAGGGGCAGGGGTGAGTGCGGAGGGTCATGGGGCAGGGCACCCTCATCTCATAACCCCCCTGTGTTCCATTGCCCCAGCCTGCAGCTGACTGAGGACCAGCGTGAGCCAGTGAGGGGGGCGGGACACCTCAGCCGCAGCCGCGCCCCCTCCCCACCGCGCCTCGGGACTGCTACTGCCTGCCCCCCACTCCCCGGGCCCTGGCCCTGCCCTGCTGCCCCTGGACATCGTCTGGCTCCCTACTAACCTCCCTGTCTTCTGCCCCTGGCCCCTCCCCACCCACCTGTCCCGCCCGCTTTTATTTATTTTGGATTAGCCGGTTTTCCCCACACCCACCTCTTCTCTTCTCCTCCTGGGTCTGCGCCCCTCCCACCCTGCCGTACCCCATAGAACTCCCCCCCAGAAGGCTTTTGTATTTGTGCATAGCTAGAGTGAGGGCAGAGGGGGCCTGCTACAGGCCACAGCCCCAAATCTTGTTTGTTTTTTTTTTATTCTGATTTTCCTTCCTTTTCTTTCCTTTTTTTTTTTTTTAAAGAAACCGTTTCTTTTTTTTAAAAACTATTTCTAGGTTTGTGAATGTGAAGCCCCAGGCCGCAGGGGGCAAGGGGCCAGGTGCCCCCCACCAGCTGAGAACAAACTGTCTGTGGGTGTGGGCCCCTGGCCACCTCCCTCCAGCCCTGGAGAGGAGGACAGGGCTGTGTAGGCCAGGCCGAGCCCCTGGAAGCATCCTGTCCTGTATCATATGTAAATACTGTGAGGTGACGCCCCCACCCTCTCTAAGGCCCCTTGGGGGTGAGGGCATCGCTTTGCCCCTCTCGGCAAAGGTCTCCCCCCATGTTTCTGCCCCCTCCTCAGACACCGTTACTGTAAGCTTGCAGGCCTCAACTGTGGCCAAGGCAGGCCCGCTCTCTCAGGCCCTAGGGGTCAAGGCCTTGGACCTGCTCACCCCGAAAACCCAGTGTGGGGTATGGGGCGAAGGAAGAGTAGGGCTCGCCCTGACCGCTGCTGGAAAGGAATTAACTCTCCAAAGGTCTCCCCCTGCCCCCAACCTAGGTTGGGCCTTCATGGTTTCTGCTCTGAGTCCCCTATCCCATGAGCAGGCATCAGGGGCCCTTTGGGAAGGCGTAGACCCCAGGGGAAAGCAAAGGGCTTCTCAGGGAACCCCCACATTCTCTCACTGAAGTTTCCCACCAGGACAGTCCCCTGGAAAGAGCCCTTTGGCATCTCTGGCCCTTGAGCCCCCTTCAAAGGAAGAAGGGACTCCGAGCCTTGACTTTTCATGAGCCGGAATGACCCAGGTGGTGAGGCAGGGCAGAGGCCCACCCACTGCTGTCATCCCATCTTGTGTCCCTCTCCCCCAGGTCTGAGGCTGGGGACCTAATCCCCCTCCTCCCTCATTCTCCCTACCCCTGAAAACCCCCTTTGGAGAGTTAATTGTCTGTGTGAGGTGCTTAACCTATTAGCCCTGAGAACACAAAGCAATAATCTTTGTTACTGAGATGCGCGGCTATTCGTGGTTTTTTTTTTTAATGTTTCCTAATAAAAGAAAGCTGCATTTTATTGGTTTTTATTTTTAATTTTCTACACGTTTGAGCTGAGTCATGGAAGACTTGGCTTCCCTTTCCTCCCCTTCCTTGGATCCCACCCACACCCCACAGGGCCCACCCTTGGGCTAAGGGCCCTGGAATTCCGTTTTCTGATTTGTTTGGGGAATTTTAAAAAAAAAGATGTTACAGGGTGTTTCGAAGCCAGCAAGTTACCACCCTCCGGTGTCTCTTCTCCCCACATCTGTAACTTCTTTTTCCAGGTTTTATTTTCAGTTTTAAATTCCTAATAAATTATTTGAAAACGGTTCTGGGCTCATGAATATCTTGTGTCTCTTGTGTGTCCAGGTCCAGGCCCTGATACCCTCTCTTACTGCCCTCATCCACTCCTGTTTTCTTTATAGAAAAATTCTCACTTTCAGCTTGGTTCATCTCCATCTCTGACTTCTTGACCAGCCTCAAAGCTCAGCATTGACAATGAGATACCCTTTGGATGACCTTTATTTATTTCCCTATTTCCTGGTTGGTCAAGGCATCAGGCCACAATGATCCAGTGGGTTGTCTCTAAAACTAGCAAAAGTGTACTCTTATGAAACATTTTGGTTAAAAGTTTTTACCATTCAAATTCAACCCAGGACTGTCTGTCCATCAACACATATGTGTACACCATGTTCATAAAAGCATTAATCATGACAGTCAAGAAGTAGAAACAATCCAGATGTCCATGGATAGATAAATGGATAAGCCAGTTATGGTCTATCCCTACAGTGGAATAGTATGCAGTCATAAAAAGGAATGAAATACCGGCACAGGCTGTGACATGGATGAAGATGTTATGCTAAGGGGAAGAAAATGGATACATACAAATACTGTATGATTCCACTTAGGTAAGGTACCTAGGATGGGTAATTATAGAGACAGACTAGAAGTTACCAGGGCCTGGGGAGAGGGAGTAATGGGGAGTCATTCCTTAATGGTTACAACTTAGAGTGATAATAAGTTTCAGAAATAGTGGCTGTATTGTGAGTTCAAGCCACTGAATTATACTTTAAAATGATAAAAGTGGTAAATTGAATGTATATTCTACAACTAAAAAGAATTGTTTTGGAGGAGCGTCATACCAGATGCCCTGACGGTGGGTTGCCTTTCACCCAAAGCGAAGCCCAAGAGTGGCGGGGTAGGAAGGCAGCTTAGCTGGTAGGTTGCCAAGTGGTTAGACCTGTGGTTTCCAGCACCTGGCTTCCCTCTTTAGCTAAAGGAAATTGAGCTCTCTGAGCATCCATTTTTTTTAAAAATCTGTCAAAGGGGAGTGATAAAGAAGTCAGACATAAAAGACCGCATATGGTAAGAAACTATTTCTATGAAATACCCGGAACAGGTAAATCCCTAGGGACAGAAGGCAGATTATTAGGGGCTGGGGAGTGGGGGGAAGAAAGAACTGCTTATTGGTTAAAGGATATCCTCTGAGCCTTCGAAAGTGTTTTCGAATTAGAATTGGTAGTGTTCCAGCACTGTGAAGGTACTAAATGCCATGGAATTGTTCACTTTAAAATGGTTGATTTCATATTATATGCATTTCTCCTCAATAAAAATGTAAAGAGAATCATAGCAGTAACTTGGTGGTTAAGAATGAAATGGGGGTTGGTCCTCCCTGGTGGCGCAGCGGGTTAAAGCACTGCACTGAGAAGCTAAAAAGCCACTTCCGCATGAGTTCAATTCCCGCCTGCCCCGGAGGAGACCACATGGCGTGGGAGATCTCTCCTGGCCCGCCCGCTGCTCCCCTCAGCAGTGTACTTCGTTGATCTACCTGTTCTGCTCCCCACTCTGTCTCTGGTGAAGCCTCTCACCACCCCTGAGCCTCTGGCCTGTACCCCAGTTCTGTATGTACAAATAAATCTTTAAAAAAAAAAAAAAAGAGAATGAAATGGGGGCCCTCCCTGGTGGTGCAACAGGTTAAAGCATGGCATTATGGGGCTGTCCTGCAGCCACTGCAGCAAGAGTTTGATCCTTGCCCGGCCAGGAAAGTGACCCACATGGCGCAGCAGACCTCTCTTGACCTGCCCGCTGCTCCCCTCAGCAGTGTACTTTGTCAATCTGCTCCCCGCTCTGTCTCTGGTGAATCCTCTCACATAATCTGATTTGCATTTGAAAAGGTCATTGCCCTCGCAAAGGAAAACTGACTTAAGGAAGGCTTTAGTGGGAGGAAGTGGGTCGATACCTGAGACAGCAGAAGTCACCAGCAGAAGTCACCCGGTTAAGAGATCCTGGGGCATGAACCAGGGGTTAGAGGGTATTGAAAGAATGTGGCTTGAGAACTGGACTTGGGGAAAAGACTGGAAGGATTAGGAGTTCAGGAGAGGACATGTTCCAGAAAGCTCCAGGGATTCCAAAGACCTGGCCCCTGAAAAAGGTCAGCTCCCTTGAAGACTTGTACTCAACTTGAGACATATTCTCAGCTGTGTTCAAATGCAAGTGCAAACATAGTGCGATAAGAGGAGGGATGGAAATCAGCCCCTTGGGGTGATCTGGGTTGAATTAAATCCATTGTTACCAGTGGCCGCCTGGGAAACTCTCAACCTTGCCATAGACTGGGTTCAGTGTTTCTGTGCTTGCAAAGAACATGAATCTTCCCAGCACCCTCAACCCCCAAAGGCAAACAGAGGCTCAGAGTTGTGAAATGTCTCACCCAAAGTCACATAGCTGTGAAGGGGCACAGTGGGACTTCAAAGCTGAGGTCTTCTGATTCCACTGTTCCTTTCTTTGCTTTGCCTTCATACAATATCTTATTAAAGTGTACCTAATACATGTAGCTTATTTGAATATGAGCTGAAAAACTGATGATAAAAAGGTAGTAGAAGGTCTCTGAAAATGGTTAGGGTATTAGATTATACTAAGAAATAACTGTTAATTTTGTTAAATGTGATGATGGCATTGTAGTCATGCTTTAAAAAATTCACATTGATGGTCTTGTTCATTAAATGTTTTGGTCAATGCATATTACTAACTTTCATCTAGTTAATGCACAGTAAAAAAATTTTTAGTGTGAAAAAAAATTCCCTCTGGAAGTTTTTTCCTTGGGTCAGAAACTAGGTTAGGGTGTCTGTTTGGGCCACTTCTATCCAACCTACTAGAAGTCCTAAGTAAAGCAATTGGGTAACCAGAAGAAGAGCTAGAAGTTATTTGAACTGGGAAAGGCAGAAGTAAAATTACTTCTGTTTGCGGATGGCATGAGCTTATATGTAGAGAACACTAAAACTGTTAGAATTAATAAAACTATTCAAAGAAGTTTCAAGACACCAAATCAACACATGTATCAGTTGTGTCTTCAAACACTAATAAAGAGCAGTCAGAAAAGGAAATTAAAATGATTCCATTTACAGTAGAGTCAAAGATACTTAGGAATAAACTTAAGATGCCAAAAGAACTACACACACTGCTGAAAGAAATGAAAGAAGACACAAAAGTAGAAAGACATCCGATATTCATAATTTGGGACACTCAGTATTGTTAAGATGCCTATGTGAATCAAAGTGAGCTATAGATGCAATGTAATACCTAGCAAAATCCCAATGGCATTTTGAGTAGAAGTAGAAAAATTCACCCTGAATTTTGTGGAATGTCAAGGGGCCCAGAATAATCAAAACAATTTGGAAAAAGTTGGAAGATTCACAATTCCTGATTGCAATAAACATTACAAAGTTATGGTAATCAAAATACTGAGGTACCAGTAGAGAAAAAGACGTAGGTCAATGAAATAGAACAGAGAGCCCCAAAATATACCCTCTGTTACATGGACAAATGATCTTTGACAAGGGTGTCAAGACCATTCAGTGTGGAAAGAATCAACAAAGGGTACTGAGAAAACTGCATATCCATGTGCTACAGAATGATGTTGCACCCTTAACTTACCCTTAACAAAAATCAGCTTAAAATATTTTTAAGATCAGAAACAATAAAACTCCTAGAAGAAAACCTGGAGAAATATTCATGGCATTGGAATGGGCAATATTTTCTATGTCATGTCATCAACAGCACAGGCAACACAAGCAAAAACAGACAGATGGGGGCCCTCGCTCATGGCACAACGGGTTAAAGCACAACAGTATGAAGCTACCACAGCCACTGCAGCACAAGTTCGATCCCCAGCCAGGGAGCTGACCCACATGGCATGGCAGACCTATCCTGCTTCACCACTGCTCCTGTAAGCAGTATATTTCAATATATCTGCCTGTTCTGCTCCCCACTCTGTCACTGGTGGGTGAATTCTTTCACTGCCCCTGCACCTCTGGCTTGTACCCCAGTTCTGTATGCATAAATAAATGAATCTTTAAAAAAACAACAACAACAAATCCAAATCCATGTAGCTGGTAGGTTCTTGTAAGCATTTTCTAGAAACAGGTACTGGCAGGTATGACCTTGGTGGAGTGTGGGTATACCGTCACCTGAAGGAGCCAAAAAGCTATCCTCAGCTGTTCTTTCCATGGAGAGTGTGTTTTTCCTAGGCTGGAACAGGCTGTACCCACACACTTACGTAGGGATGGGAGGCAGCCCAAGGACACGGTTCCTAGAGAGTAGGGTTCAGCAGGCTGTCCATGGTGGCCTGGTCCACTGCTCTGCCACCTCCAGGGTCCCTGGAGAGGTTCAGATGGTCACATCTAGCCTGAGAGGAGGAGAGGGAGAGGGTTGTGGTCACCACCTGCCACAACCCCCCACCAGGTGGTGTGCCTAAGTCCGAGCACAAATCACGAAGCATACGTGGGAATTTGTCCTTGAGGACAGCTTGCCCTTGTGGAAGGCCTCCAGCTGGCTGGGAGTGTGGGAGAGGAGAGAAGGATATAGGAACTAATCTCCTCCCACCCCAAGGGGCTTTTGGCATTCCTATAGCCATTCCCTGTCTTCCCTATCTGAGAGAGTAATGAGGTATCAGAAGCACTGGATTGCTCACCATGGTACTGCTGTGTGACATGGGGACATGGGGACAGTTGCTTAACCTCTCTGATCCTCAGTCAACTTCTCAGTAAAGTGGACCGTGGCAGTGGACTTACCTCCGAGATTTGTGGCAGGTTCTCGGCATGGGGCCTGGCCGAGGGTTGACATGTGGTAAATGGTCTTTAAAACTGATAGCCTTCAAGGACTTGGTAGCTCCAGCTGCTACTCCTTGCTCAGACCACCACAAGAGGAGCAGATTCTGCTCCTCTGTTTCGTTCTGATTCCAAATAACCTGCCTCAGTGGGACTGAGCGTTTTGCAGGCTATGGCTTCCCTTTTCCTGGCCAGCGTTCACTCATTCTGGGAGCTGAAGAGGCAGAACCTTCTGCCAACCTGATGTGGGGTCCTGGCAGTTTTCACAGCGTCTGCCAGCCTCTGGGCCATCAGCAATCCAGGCTCAGTTCATCCTGAGCAGCACTACCCAGTGGAACCTTCTGGATGTGGGAAACATTCTCTATCATTGCTATTCAATTCAGCAGCCACTAACCACATGTAGATATTGGACCCTTGAAACATGGCCAGTGGGAAAGAATATGGTTTTTCATAGTATTTCATATTAGTGAGTTTAAATAGCCACCTGTACTTAATGGCTACCAGCTTGGAAAGAGGTAGGAACCTCAGACAAATGTGAAGAAACCTCTCACATGAAACAACCTGGGTCGAACGGGAGCAGAGTCAGGTCTGTGCAAATACATCACTTTTCCTTTCTGGGCCTCAGAAACCCATCTGCTTACTAAGTAGGTTAATGCATTAGCTAGGAGACCTACCTGAGGCTCTGGATTTGGAGTGAAACAGGGACACCCTCTCGATGGATTATTTCTTTTTTTAAGATTTATTTTTTATGTATGCACACAGGAACTGAGGTACATACCAGAGGTGTGGGGGTGAAAGGACTCACCAGAGACAGAGTAGGGAGCATAACAGGCAGATCTACAGAAATACACTGCTGAGGGGAGCAGCGGGGAGTCAGGAGAGGTCTGCCGCGCCATGTGGGTCATCTCCCTGGCCGGGAATTGAACTCAGGCCACAGTGGCTGTGGATAGCTTCATAAGTGCTGAGACTGAACCCCTGTGCCACCAGAGAGGCCCATCTATTACTCCTTTCTGGGTGCCTGTACCCAAGAAGAAAGGTGAACAGAGGCCACAGAACTATAGTTAGGGCCACCAATGCTGCCATTCACCCCTGACAGCCTCGCCATGGTGGGTGGAAATGGGTGTGGGCCTGGGGAAGCTATTTCCAGCTTGACCCCTCAATGTCCTCATCTGGTAAGGGGCCAAGAAGTATCCCAGGGCCAGAAGTGACTAGACAGACATGGCTGTGTGGTGAAAATGGCACTTGGTCTTCCAGAGGGGCATGCAGGCCACATCTGACCAGTGCTCCCTCAAAGTCTCAAGGTCATCCACACAGTGAGTCTGAGAAACTGCCCCAGCCAAGAGGGGCCTCAGGAGGTGTGATGAATGAATAGAATGTTCTGTTCTGGCTAGGGCTCCGGGACAGAGAAGGAACATTTGGTAAAAACTAAGGAAATTGGAATACATTACGGGCTTGAGTTTACTGAAATTATTTTTGATCATAAAAATATATCTTATTGGTTTATTCCTCATAATAAATGAGCCACATTGGCCCTCCTTGGCGGTACAAAGAGTTAAGTCTTGGCACTATGAAGCCTTCTGTAGTTACTGCCACCCGAGTTGGATCCCTGGCCAGGGAGCTGACCCAATGGTGCAGCAGATCTCTCTTGACCCGCCTGCTGCTCTCCTCAGCAGTGTATTTCAGTCGATCCGCCTGTTCTGCTCCCCACTCTGTCTCTGGTGAATCCTCTCACCGCCCCCCTCACCTGTACCTCCAGCCTGCACCCTAGCTCTTGTATGCATAAATAAATAAAATAAATCTTTTAAATTAAATAAATGCAAACATTTTTTAAAAGGTTAGTTTTATGCTGGAATTTATCCCCCACAATTGCTATTGCCCTCAATTGTTATACCCCCAATTGTTTATGTTCAAAAAAAAATTGTAAGTATTTGATAACAGCCCCAAAACACTTTTTTATTCTACAATTCATATTCAAGGCCAGGGCCAGCACTCTCTTGCAAACTCCAGAGGCCAGGGGTCTCTTACAACCGAGGTGGGGGTGGGTGGCAGGACTGAAATTTGGGCAAAAAAGCAAGCTTGGGCCTTAGAATCGGACCTCCTGAAGTCTTCGGCATTCTCTGCCATTTGTAGGCTGTGTGGCCTTGGGCAAGTTGTTTAACCTCTCTGAACCTGGTCCCTCATCTAAATGCATGAATGATGAGATCATTCCATAGGTCCCCAACTCAGACCCAGGCATATGAGAAGACATAGAGGCAGCAGTCATTTCTTTCCTGTCTCCTCATCCCAGTCATGACAAGGGGTAGAAAGTTCTTTTCTGCCTACCTCCCTCCAAATATGAAGTTGGGCTGAATGCCAAAGGTAGAAGGAGGGGTCAAAATTCCAAGGCGTCAATTCCAGAAATAATGCCTTTCATCAGGAGACAAATGCACACACTGCTTCCAAATACCTCTTGCTGGCAGAAATTGCATATTGGTCAAGTTTATTCCAGCACAGACTCAAGGCCAACCAGGAGTCAGCTGGGAAAAAAGCAAACACCCCAGCCTTATCTTGGGGCTGTGAGGCATTATAAACAGGCAGGCCTAGGTGGCCTCTGTCCTTTCTCTCCTCCACCTGACAACAGGATGAAGCTCCTTGTGCTAGCTGCTCTGCTCTCAGGTAGGTGTGCCTCTCATGGCCACTTCCTTGTGCTGACAATTTACTCCTTTGGGATGGGGGCCTCAGGTCAGAGCAGACAGCGTTGGCCAGACCTGGAGTCTTTATTCAGGGCTCCCCATGGGGCTGCAGGGCTCTAGTGTGGGGCTTCTCATAATCCCCCCAGCCAGCACCAGCCAGCCTTCAGGTCTGGACTCAGATAACCCCCCTCAAAGACCTAGCATGCCCACCCAAGGTAAGAGAGCCCCACTTCTTGTTCCTGACCCCATTACCTTGAGACAGGGTCTCCCCAGCACCAACTTTTGCAGTTTATATCTCCTGATACATTTCCTTTTTTACGCCCCACCCACACCTAAGCACGGGGTTCATGAGAACAGGGAGAGAGATGTCTGCGCTATTTTATTGAATGAATTCATGGAGTGACACATAGAATTCAAACCCCATATCACTCATCCATCATTCATTCAACATTGATGCTGTCAGAACCTCCAAGGTAGAGGGCTCTGGGTTGAGATTAGGGGCTCAGAGATGAATGAATTCCCTGTCAGAGTTCTAAGCATACACAAGAGCAGTAGCTTTGTGCAGTTCTGGCCTCTGCAGAGATCAGGCTTAGCTGGGTCAGAGAGTGGGAAAACAGGCCAAGGTAGCAGGGTCCTCCTGTCTGGGCAAGCTCCATGCCTCAGTGCGTGGACACAACCTCTGTTGACCACCATGAAGGCTGTTCATAGGGGCTGGCCCTTCCTTTCCCCTGGAGTTTAAGTGGCTCCAGTGTGCACAGCAGACCCAGTAAGAAGGACAAAGCGTGGGCCCTAGAGACAATACTGGTGGCTGATGAAACAGAACCCCAAGTCATTTACTGCCAACTTCCCTGAGGGGTACCTGTCTCCTAGGGTAGAACTCAGCAAATGGGGAAACATTCTTTCAGCCAGAGGCAGAATTTTTTCACTTAGCCAACAGAAGATTAATGAGCACCTACTATGCACCAGGTCCACTCTTTAACTCAATTATTAGTAATTTCATTCATATATTTATGGAGGGGACTATTACATATACTCAGACCCAATGTCAGACTTGGAGAGTTAAAGCCCTGTCCTTGAGTTTATGGGCCTTTGAGAGGGTGTGTTAAATAGATAATGGCTGTCTGCTAGGAAGCAAAGAACACAAAGAAAAATGATAGTAAAGGAGCCACTTGGTTTGGAGCCACAGAAAGGCCCTTTTTGAGGGGGTGGCACTTAAGCCATGATCTCCCACACTTTTGAAAACTGAGATGACGAGTATCCAGGCAGAGGGAACAGCAGGTGCAGGGCCCTTGAGGCAGAAAAGAGGTTGATCTGTCTAATACAAATGGCCACACAGGCCTCCACACTAGCCCTACCTCACCCCACAACCCTACCCAAGCCCCCCATTTTAGAGTTCCAATTTTTCTACCTTCTAACATATCCCACTTCCTAATTTATTATATTTATGGCTTCTTGTTTTCCTCCCACAATAGGACATAAGTTCAATGAGATGACAGATTTTTTTTTTAAGATTTATTGATTTGTGCATACAAGAACTGGGTAAGACCAGAGATGTGGAGGGGTGAGAGAATTCACTAGAGACAGAGTGGGGAACAGGACAGGCAGAACTCTACTGGAATTCACTGCTGAGGGGAGCAGAGGGTGAGACAGGGGAGGTCTGCTTAGCCATGGGGGTCAGCACCCTGGCTGGGGATCCAACTCATGTAGCAGAGGCTGGCAACTGCTTGATAGTCCTGTGTCTAACCCCTGCAGCACCAGGAACACACAGGTAATAGCTTTTTTTTTTAATCTTTCACTGATGTATCTCCAGCTCCCAGGATAGTGACTAACCCATGGTAATTGTTCAATAAATATTCACTGGACAAATTATGGAGATTATTTAACATTATCCCCCTAGGAAATAATATGTTCATACAATAACAATGAGAACTATAAAGAGAAGCACTATTCATAGCAGTCAAATAATGGAAACAATCCAAAGATCCATCAAGTGATGAATGGGCAAACCCACTGTGATCAGTCTCTATAGTGGAATAGTAGACAGCTACAAAAGGCAATGAAGTACTGTTACCTGTTATAACATAAACGAATCTCAAACATGTCATGCTATGTGAAAGAAGGCAGTCACACAGGCCACATATTTATATGAAGTGTTCAGAACAGGGAACTCCACAAGGGACAGAAAGCAGATCAGTGGCTGCCAGAGGGAAGGAGGAAGGTAAAAATGGCCACGGGGTGGAGGAAATTCTTTTGGGAAAGAGGAAAATGTTCTGGAATTAGTGGTGATGGTTGTACAACTCCCAATGCCATCTAACTGTACCCTTTAAGAGGTTAAATGGCAGATTTTGTTAAGTAGATTTTCTCTGAAAAATTTTTAAGTTTTCTTAAAATTTTCCCTGTCACTTCATCAGTTCTTATGTCAGTTGCCTTCAGAGGAGGCAGCCCCTGGGCACATGGGTGGGCACGCCGGGGCACCGGATGGATTTGAACTCTGTGTTTTCTCACAGTGGCCTCTGTGGAGGGCAAGGCCGACTCCCGGTCAGTGCTGCAATTCCGCAAAATGATCAAGTGCGTGATCCCCGACAGTCACCCCGCTTTGGATTTCGCTGACTACGGCTGCTACTGTGGCCTGGGTGGATACGGCACCCCTGTGGATGAACTGGACACGTGAGTGAGGGGTTCGCGGGGAGAGTGGAGAGCCTGCGGGGTGGAGGGAGGGCTCAAGTCAAGGAGCTCACGAGCAGACACAGGAAGGGAGCATGCACTTTCTCTAAGGATAACATATTGCACAGTCACACAAATATGTTCCAAGAGGGCCCTGAGGCGGAACATCGGAGATGCAAAATAGCGGCTGCTGCTGCCTTCTAGTGACAGGACGTTGCAACGCAGGACGTCGCAGCCACGAGTCAAGGGTCTTCTCTAGCTAGCTTCCGTTAAAGTTAACACAGCCTAGCCAGAATACAAGACTGTACTCTTACAATCATTTAAAAAATCGACCACTAAAAACTATAATGGATTCATTCTTTTTAATCTTGAGTGTCATGTCAGCTAAAATATGTCCACCTGTTCCTGAGAGCGCAAATTCATATTGACATGTGCAGGGGCTCCAGGTGGTTACCTGATCTCAGCTCTGTCCTTTCCTTCTCCAGGTGCTGCCAGACACACGACAACTGCTATGAGCAATCCAGGAATGTGGATGGCTGTCGATTCCTCCTGGACAACCCTTACACCAGATCCTACTCATACTCTTGCTCTGGCACAGAGATCACCTGCAACAGCAGTAGGTTTACCCCCTGGTGGGCTGAAAAGCCCTCAGTAGATTCGGGGATGGTCTAATAGTAATGATAGTCACTAGTTAGCTCTGATTTTCTGGGTGCCAGGCAGTGTCTCCTTTTATCCTCACAGTAACCCTATGGGATAGGTACTGTAATGATGCCCACTTTGCAGATGTGGAAACTGAGGTTCGTGGTAGGGTTTGGCTTTTTAGTCCAGGTCTGTATGACACCAAGACCTCTTCTCTTACTGCTATACTTCCTTGTAATTTAATAAAAAATAACTTAGAACAAGCATTTATTAGATTGTTACACATGCCAAGGACTTGGCTAGGCATGTGTAAGACTGGTTATGTCAACCCATTTTACAGGATCTGAGACTCAAAAATCGTCACTTGCCCCAAGTGATGCACATCTTTTAAGTGGTAGGTAGGATGGGTATTTGGACCCAGTTGCTTCTGATTTCAAAGTTTCTGCTGTCCACGACTAAGCCATGCAGCTTAGTGTTTCCCCACCCAGGCAGCCCTGACAGGTGGACAGTGCACATGCCAGACAGTTCCTCTGAATGTTCACTGCCCTACTCTTTGTACTCACAGACAGGCCCACTTTTCAAAACTGTAAGATATGACCATCATTCAACCCCAAAATTGCCAAAAAAAATTGCCCTGGATTCCATCATCCTATGAACTATAGAAATCCCACCATGCTCTGGTCCCCATGTTTGGAATAAGTTTATACTCTTCATTGTGGCCAGGCATGCCCCCACCCCAAGTCCTCTGTTCCTTCTGCATTTTACCACCACAAACCACCTGGACATGTCCAGATGTGCTTCCGATTTCATTTTCTTTCTTTTTAAAAAATTATTTATTTTATTTATTTATACATACAGTAACTGGGGTATAGGCTAGAGGTGCGGGGGGTGGGAGTGAGAGACAGAGTGGGGAGCAGAACTGGTGGATCCACTGAAATACACTGCTGAGGGGATCATTGGACAAGACAGGAGAGGTCTGCTGCACCATGTGGGTCAGCTCCCTGGCTGGGGATCAGACCCATGCTGCAGTGGCTGTGGATACCTCTATAGTGCTGAGACTTAACCCCTTGCACCTCCAGGGAGACCCCCTAAACAGGTGATTTAATGTGATTTAAATATTTTGTGATTTAACACTGAGAAATTGGCTCACTAAACTTGCCTAAGTTGAAATGTACAATCCTTTCAACTTTGAGTATGTGTTTTAGTATTTTCCGTACATTCACAATTGTTTTCCTATGTTATCAAAGATCTGTGGAGTCTGCAAGCTATATGGATTTAGGGGTTCAAACTAGAGAGGATTTTCCAAAAGGCACCTATCACCCCGCCACATAAGACACATGTTGCCCAGTTAAATTAGACTTTCACACAAACAATGTATAATTTTTTAGTCTATGTCCCAAATATTGTATTTGCGATTTATCTGTAACAATGATACTTTTATTTGCTTAGTATGTCCACCTTAAATCTACAATGGCACAGCCACTGGATTATTCCAGTCAATTCTTCCTACCCCTTGTTTGCACAAAGCAGACTCCACCTTAGCTCAGTCAGTTTATTTTGCTCTTTTCCAGGCAAAAACACTCCCTGCCAGGAATTCCTCTGCAACTGTGACCGCACTGCTGCCATCTGCTTTTCCAAGGCCCCATATAACAAAGAACACCATAATCTGGACCTCAAGAAGTACTGTAAGAAGTAAATACTCCTCTGAAAAGAAAAGAGTTCTTCCTAGCTGTCTCATGACCTTCCTATTACACGACCAATAAAGCGCCTACTAAAAGGTTCATGTTTGGAGATTTTTACTGTTGAATATGACTGGGTTGCTTCCTTGTCCTTGTAAGCATCATTCCTTCCAGCCTCAAAAGTTGAATGAGAGGGTATTTCCAGGAAACAAGTATCATGAGACCAAAATAATGATCCTACCACCGTTTACCAATAGTCTACTCTGTGCCAGGACTATGTGTCTCTAAAAGCCTCTGGGTAGTCAGTCCCAGGTTTTGACACTTAACAAATCCTATTGTTCTAAGCTGAGGCTCAAGAGAAGTCACTTGTCCAAAGCTATGTATCTAGTAAGTAGATGCAAGGAAGGGATTCAAAGTAGCAAAGAAGGAATTCCAACCCAGTGAATCTGGATCTGGCAGCAGAACACACATTTTTCACCAATCCCCTTTCCTGTCTGAAGTTCTGGGCTTTTGTCTTCATCTTAGCCAGGTCTTATTCCCTCTTATTTTTCTGCCTCCATTTTCAGTTGTGTTAAACCCTTTTTTTTTCTACAACACTTTTCCTTTCTAAACCCTTGGAAAGACTTCACCGCATATGACAAGGTGATTTTTACGTTATAGTCATCAAACATAATAAGCAATTATAATTTCTATTTCTTGAGCACTAACTGCATATAGCCCTGTGCTAAGGACTTTTCACACCTCATCATGCTAAGTGTTCAGACCAGCCCTGTGAGGTGGATATTTGTTGTCCCATTTTAGGCTGAGGAACTACAGACTAAGAGAAGTTAAGTCACTTGGCTGAAATCACACAGACAGCAGAGTCAGGATTTGACCAGATCTATCTGATGGCAATACCTGAGCTCTGAAGTCATTTGGCCACGTTTCTCCACCAGTATTAATGGTTACTCTGGCACTGAAATTCAGCAGAGAGAGTATGGAGGTGCAAAGAAGGGAACTGAGTTAAGAAAGCAAAGATGAGAGAGGGTTATTTGGCTATGAGGAGTTGCTCCCCCACCCCTCTCTTGCCCCCACTTCAGCTGTAAAGCACTGGAGGCTGAAGGCAACAGTCACTGCTGGGTAGCAGAGAAGCTTCTGTTTGAAAAAGGGAGTGTAAGAAGATTTGTCTTTTGATCTAGCAATTTCCTTTCATTTCATTCAGCTTAATGAATATTTATTAAACACTTGTATAAAATGCTGGGAATACAATGTATTTGGGGCTGGTGGCTAGACAACAACGGATTGTTTATAGCCACCAGCATTTTGATCTTCTCTGATTTTCTCCCCTTACTCTTCAAACTGTCAAATGTTATACATATTATGGCCCAGGCTGTGCCGAGCATTTTGCACAATTATCTTGCTGTCTTCACTATTATGTTCCCCTTTTACAGGCAAGGGAACTGGTTTGAAAAAGTGAGTGAATTGCCAAAGATCATTTATGGTGGCATAGGTGACACTGGAACCCAAATCTGGACAATTTAGGGACGTGCCAACACTGTGAGCTTGCTGAAGGCGCAGTGAGGTGCCTTAATTACCCCTTTTATAATAATATAACCCGCCTAGGACAGTACTTGACATAGGGTCACTCAATGGCTTGAGAGAAACGAAGTGTCCCTCACTAGCACTCAGGATCTTTGGACAGGTAAAACTGGGATTATCTTCAAATTCAACAACCTTAAATTGAATGCACATTCTGTGCGTAGGGTAGGACTGTAAAGGATGCAAAATTAAAATAGACCTGTCCTCAGCCTTCAATGAACTGTAAAAGTCGCAAATGTCTTTCTTCAAGGAAAGAAACTGCAAGCCATTGTTTAGATGCAAGGAAGGTGGGATTTAAGGAGATTATCGCTTATTCCTTTTTTGGCTGACAAGACAGAGAACCATCACACTACACCACAGTCTAAAAGTATTTCCTAACGTAAAAGTCTACTGTTTTCATTATCCCAAGGGCTGGGAGAGAGAACTAACTCCTTTAGCAGTCTTCATGGGCTTCATCTTGGTGCTCATTAACAGGAAGCAGAATTCTGCAAAACTACAACGGTGGCTGGGATGACTGAAATGAATAAATTAATTGGACTGAGAGTAATTACATTCTAGCAGGCACGAACAGTGCCTGACACATCACAAACACTCCTTAAACTTAGTTCAGGAAGTTAAATGGGGCGCCACAGTTGGGCCCCCAGAATAGGCAAAACCACGTGGCCATATTTACCTTTTCATACCACGTGACCCTCCGCGTCTGTCTCTCTCCAAGACGCTATCCTTTGCTCAAGGAATTTCGAAATAGGAAAGGTGACAGGTTACCCTGTGGACACGTGGCTCTTGGTTCTCCTTTTCTATTGGTGAACAGTGGCCCATCCCCCGGCCTACCTCCGTGTAGCCCCGCCCCGTCCCAGGACCCGCCCCTCCGGCCTCCCGCGGCGTGGCTGGCGCCCACGCGTGCGCAATACTGATAACCCTAGCTTGATTGACTTCGGAGTGGTGGCGGGTACGACTCAGCTGGCAGCTTCCTGAGGCCCCCCAGGACGCGCTTCTGAGCTAGGATTCTTTAGGAGGAACGGACGGGACCAATCGAGTGCAAAAAGAGGGCGATTCCACGTGAATGTGGCGTGGTGCCAACTGTCTTGCCGTGCCAGTCCCTCGCGAGGACTCCCCTCCTGACGCCCCTAGTTCCTCTGCCAGTTTCTCCTCCTTTGCTTTTATTCCTGGAGGGATAAGGGGCAGGAAGAAAGGGGTGCAGGGAATCAAAGAGGAACGAGGAGGAGTGGCCAAGGAGAAAGGCAAATAGATGTCGGGCTGACTAGCCCACAGCCTGGGGGGGGGGCCTCAAGTCCTCTTGAATCCTCTCTCCACACTTTCAAGAGTTCGATTCCCCAGCCAGGAAGTTGACCCACATGGCCTGGCAGACCTCTCCTGACAACCCCCCCCCCACGTACCCCCTCCACACACACAGACACACAGCTGTTCCCCTCAGCAGTGTATTTCAATTGATCTGCCTGTTCTGCTCCCCACTCTGTCTCTGGTGAATCCTCTCACCCACCAGACCTCTGTAAGCATAAATAAATAAATCTTAAAAAAATAAGAGAGAAAAGCAAAGGTCTGACCTTCATACTTTTGAATTGTGGTTGCCTATCTGGAATACTCTAGGCCTAGTCATTTTATCATTCCTTGCAAGTTCCTGTGATTTTTTTTTTTATGTATGCGCACAAGAACTTGGGTGTAGGCCAAAAATGTGGGGGCTGAGAGGATTCACCAAAGACAGAAGGGGGAGCAGAACAGGTAGATGTACTGAAATACACTGCTGAGGGGAGCAGCCAGCAAGATAGGAGTGGTCTGCTGGGCTATGTGGGTCAGCTCCCTGGGGATCAAACTCATGCCACACTGGCTAGTTAATAGCTGGATGGCACGGATGCATTTAAACCCTGCTCCACCAGTAAAGCCTCCAAGTCCCTGTAACATTTTTTGGTAAAGAAGAGAATGGTAGGGGAGAACAGCACCTTCTCTATGAGTCTCTTGAGGGCAAGAGGTTGTGTTTTTCTTTTTTTTTTTTAAGACTTATTTATTTACACATATAGAATTGGGGTACAGGCCAGAGGTGCAGGGGCGGTGAGAGGATTCACCAGAGACAGACTAGTGTGCAGAACAGGCTGACTGATGAAGTACACTGATGAGGGGTGCAGTGGACAGGTCATGAAAGGTCTGCTGCACCATGTGGGTCACCTCTGGGGTGGGGATTGAATTCGTGCTGCAGTGGCTTCAGCTTCGTAGTGCTGTGCTTTAACCTGCTGGCCGCCAGGGAGGACCCAAGGTTGTGTTCTTGTAGCCTTAGTACCATCACACAGAGTCAATAATCATGCGTGAGACTGGTGGATAAGAAAGACTTGACTAGATATGGAAACAATCTAAATGCCAAAAACAGCAATCCAAAAAGATAAACTCATGCAATTAGCAGCAACATGGGTGGAGCTAGAAAAGATTATGCTCAATGAAACAAGTCGGAAAAAGAAAAATATCGGATGATTTCACTTGTAAGAATACAGGAAAACTAAACAAAGGGTAAAAAAAAGGCAAAATTTGCAGGCAAACTATAGATCTGAGGCATACAGCAGGGACGGAGACAGAGCGCTGTCAAGATAGGGGAGGGAAAAGCACAAGGGACTATTGGGATGGTTCACAGGTGCTGTGATAAGGGGGAAATGATGGGGGTACACCGGAGGGGAGAAATCAAATACAGCACAAAAATGAACAACAATGTAAGAAAAGTTTAATCAAAATGAACAATGTAAGAAAGTTTAAAAATTTAATTTAAAAAATAGCTTAAGAGTCAAAGGACCCACATTAGAACACAATTGATACTGACTGGGTAACGGAGCAGATCTGATTCCAAGCACCTTGGGAGTCTTGTCTGCAAAAAAAAAGCCGGAGATACTCGACTTACACCTCGTCGGAGAAATGACTAGTTGCAAACCTATCATGGCATAGGTGAAAAGGACTCTGTGTTGTCAAGATCTTGCACTGTCCCAGTGAACTGAAATTTGCTTCCTAGGCAGGTGCAGGATGAACTCATATTGCTTGTCCTAATTTTAGACAAAAAGACTTCCTGAAATAGGATGTGATTCTCCTCTCTGTGTCACTTTGTCAGTGAGATTGCCCAGAGAAAGCTTTAAGCTGGTACAATGTTTCTTTCTAGTTAAAGCAATAATCAAACAAGTCTTGCTGCTTTCCTCAGAGGAAACAAATCAACCTCAGAACCCATTGGGGAACTCACTGTTCCCTCTCTACAGACCAGGTTCAAAGCAGGTGTCTCATTCCTGCAGCTGAAATCAAGCAAAGATCCTTAGAGAACCGTGTCAGAAAGCCGCTTTCTCTTTTAGTTTATGAAAAAAAAAGAATATAAACATACATATCATACACATACAATGTAAACAAACCCACATATTTGGTGTACTATTAAGTGATTCCTTTATTCCTTGATCAATAAAAATTTTTCAGATGAATGCTCATCTTTTCTATATAAAAATGCAATTAAGGACATTTTCCAAATTATAAATTAAGCCATTTCCTTTATCCTTTCTCCCCACATGAGTGAGAACCCCAGGAGCACTTCAGCAGGGGCGCTGGCTTACATATTTCCCAGCCATTTCTTCTACCTGGTGAGATAAAAAGGAAGTGAAAGAATTTATCCCATCAGGAGAAGCTGCTATTTGAAAGCCTTTGGGAAGGGGGCTAGGGGGTGACAAGCTAATCAACTTGAAGATTTTAAGTATCCACTCCCCCATATAATGACAAAAATACCTTCCCCCTGCCCCCCAGTGAAGAGGACTTTATACCAGAACACTAAACCTAGTTTAGCTCAGTGGTAGACTTGATTATGGGTGACTGGTACTACTTTCTTGCCACTTATCTGTGTCATCTAAACTTTCTGCAATAAATAAATATTCTTCTAGTAATAAGAAACGAAAAAAAAAAGCTTTCTTTTATGATGACAGGTATAAACTAGATTTTTTGTGGGGACCATTTCACAATATAAACAAATATTGAATCATCTTATAAGACTGAAACTAAAGTTTTAGGTTAAAAAAAAGGTCAGAAATCTATGTTTAGAAGTGGTGGTGCCAAGAATGATTCTTGGGGGCTCATAGCATCTGTTCTGTCATCTTGGTGCTCTAGATCTTTATCAAGCTGTCCATTTAGGATATGGCATTTCTCCATACGTATAGGACACTTCAATTTAAGGTTTTTTAAAAAATTTCCTTTCCTTTTATTAAATTTTTTTTTTACATTTGTAGAAGAACTGGGGTGTGGGTCAGAGGTACAGTGGGTAAGGGGATTCAGCAGAGACAGAGTGGGGAACAGAACAGGCAGATTCACTGAAATGCACTGCTGAGGGGAGCAGCGGGTGAGACAGGAGAGGTCTGCTGTGCCATGTGGGTCAGCTCCCTGGCTGGGATCAAACTCAGGCCACAGTGCTGATATTGCTGAAACTTAACCTCTGGGCCCCAGGGAAGGCCAGTTTCAACCTGCCATGTGGGTTACCTCCAGGGCCAGGGATTGAACTCGTGCTGAAGTGGCTTTAGCTTCTTATCGATGCATTTACCCACTGCGCCACCAGGGAGGGCCAACAGTTTAGGCTTTTTAACAGTGCTTGCACCAGAACTCTCATTCATTGCTGGCAGGAAAAGTACAGCCTCTCTGAAAGACTGTTTGGTAGTTTCTTACAAAACTCAGCGTGCTTTTAGCTCACATACCAGCAAATCTTACTCCTTGGTTTTTACCCAAATGAGCTTGTGAAAACACATATACACAAAACCCTGCACACATGTTTATAGCAGCTCTATTCATAATGCCAAAAACTTGGGGCAAAATAAGATGTCTCTCCAGAGGTGAGTGATGAATACCATGTGTGTAGACAGGGTTGTGGGGGCACAAGAACCCCGGCTTTCTGTTCCATTTTGCTGTGAATCTAAAACTGCTCTTTAAAAGTTTGTTTAAAATGTAGCTGGTTGGCTTCCTTGCAATATACTAAAATTCTCGAATGATACACACAAAGTGAGTGAACTATATGTGATGTGAATTATCGCTTAATAAAGCTGTGTAGTTTTTTTTTAATTGATGGTACTCACACACTGAAATAGATATAAAGTGCTGAGGCATGTGGCAATCTGGATGATCCTTGAAAACATGATGTGGGTCTCCCTGGTGGCCTAGGGGTGGGTCTCAGAACTATTACCTCTGCAGGAGGAAGCTGACCCATGTGGTGCAGCAGACCTCTCCTGTCTCACCTGCTGCACCCCTCAGCAGTGTATTTCAGTAGATCTGCCTGTGCTCTCCCCACTCTGCCTCTGGTGAATCCTCTCATCCCCTGCACCTCTGGCTTATACCCCAGTTCTTCTACACAAAAATAAATTAAATTAAAACAAACATGATGTGGTACAGCCAGACCCAAAAAGCCACATACTCTATGGAAATTGTAGAACAGGCCAACCAGAAAGACTAAGTGTTGCCAGGGACTGAGTAAAAGGGTCAGGAGAATTATTTAATGGGTTCCAGGTCTCTTCCCAAGATGACAATGTTCTGTTGTTAGACAGCAGTGATTCATGCACAACTTTGTGAGTACCCTATAAAGTTAACTATATACTTTTAAAGGGTGAACTTTATGGTAAGTGAATTGTATGTCAATAAAACTGTTAGTGGGGGCCCTCCTTGGTGGCACAATGGGTTAAAGCGCAGCACTACGAAGCTAGCCACAGCCGCTTCAGCTCAAGTTCAATCCCGGCCTGGAAGGTGACCCACATGATGCAGCAGACCTCTCCTGTCTCATCTGCTGCTCCCCTCAGCAATGCACTTCCACAATCTGCCTGTTCTGCTCCCCATTCTGACTCTGAGTCCTCTCATTGCCTCTGCATCTCTGGACTACACACCAGTTCTGAATGTATAAATAAATAAATCTTTTTT